TGGAGATGTGTGGAGAAGCTGTGTTTTAAAAGATCTGAGTAGCTCCTGATGGGACTTTTCTGGGATAATCCCATGATCTTCTTGGTGCAGTGGTAGTGCTGATGTTTTGAGTGCCTCGTCTTCCTTGGTATTTAGAGTTTAATACACAAAATTGGGTGGGAACTTAGAACAAAAAAATCAGTGCTGGCCTATTCCTACTGCCTTAGTAGGTAATATAGTTCCTAAAAACGTTCTGGTCCTATGCAGGTATTGCTGACAAATGCTGTGTATTGTTTGATGATACAAGTTTGTTTACTTAGAATTGTTCTCTCTGAGATATTGCTCAAGTGGAAGAGGCAAGAGACAAAGCTTACTGTAATGAGCTGTGTGGATATTTAAACTGCTTTGTGTACAGGAGGGGAAATACAAGCGAGCAACATTACAGTATAAGAAGATTGTGTCATGGCTGGAGCATGAATCAGGACTTTCTGATGAGGAGGATACAAAAGCCAAGAGCCTAAGGCTTGCTGCCCATCTTAATCTAGCTATGTGCCATCTCAAGCTGAAGGAATATTCCCAGGCTTTGGAGAACTGCAACAAGGTAGTAAGTCTTCTTTTTTTTAAAAAAAAAAAAAAAAAAATTAATATTTATATCTTTTAATTACTTGATGGCATACGAGAACACTCGAGCACTTAGCAAGTAGAAATGAAGAGACAAGGCAAAGATCAAAGAGATAGTAATAGATCAAGATTAAACATCTGCTTTCCTGATTCTCTGTAAAGTCCTGCTGTATTCAACCCCTCTCTTAAGCCCCAAATTCCAGGATAGATGTACTTCACATGTACTAGGCCATTTTCTAGGAGTGTCTGGTGATCTGGCTGGATTTTATTTTAAAAATAAATAAATAAAAATCTTGTGTTAACTGTTCTGTGCAGGCACTTGAACTGGATAGCAGCAATGAAAAAGGCCTCTTCAGGCGCGGAGAAGCTCACCTGGCTGTTAATGACTTTGAGTTAGCCCGGGATGATTTCCAGAAAGTGATACAACTTTACCCAAGTAACAAAGCTGCCAAAGTGCAACTAATAACTTGTCAGCAAAAAATACGGGAGCAGCATGAGAAGGAGAAGAAAATGTATGCCAACATGTTCCAGAGGCTTGCAGACAAAGACTTAAAGGTAAATGGCACTACTCCAGAAAAATGCAAGGCTTGACATCAAGTGTTAGGCAAGGAATAGTGAGTCTTTAGTGTATTCAGCTTGCTCTTTTTAGTAAACAGCACAATGAGAGAGCATGGAAGTAGCTGCCTTGAAAGAAATGGGAATAGCCAGTAGTGTCATAATTTTTCGGGTTATTTTGTTTGAACAAGACAGCTAGTAGTACTAAGCATTGCGCAGGATACTTCATTTCAGCTGATCTTTCAGTAAGCATTGTTAAACATCAGTGAGTAATGGAAGCGATGAGCTACAAACATGATAACGTTCAAAAACTGAAAGATGCATATCTTTTCCTTAAACTGCTTGATTGCTCTCTCTTAGCATCTGCACGGTCCATCCATTGTGCCTTTTTGTCTCTCATACTGATGGTCTCGAGCAAAACCTTGAGAACTGTCTTGCTGCTCATGGAGACAAATATAAAATGGAAAACACCAACCACATACTCATGTGACAGATTCGTTTCATAGTGTTGGTGGTAGGCTATTTCTTTGGGGTCTCAGAATATGCCTTATTGTATGGATGGTTTTCCTACTAAGTTTTCATCAGAATCTTAGTATTAGTTCAGGTATGGGATTATAATCCCATACTGCCCTTATTTTAACAGGGTATATTAGCTAGCAAGAAACTGTGTTGCCTGTGAGAATCCCTTTTCCCAAGAAAATGCTCATCTTTAAATTTAATGGCCTCAGACTGAGTAAATCTTTAACTTCCAAGAGGAATCTGCTCAATTTTCTCAGTGATAGTGAGATGGGTAGCAGGATATGTCATGAAGTTATTTCCACAGATTTTCCCTCCTACCTACCCAGTATATGTATAGAGAATAAAAAAAAATCATTCTAATTTGAGTTATTGCTATGTCCATTTTCTCTCATTTGTACTTTTCAGTGTCAGTAAATCTGTTTGAGCCCTCTGTCCTCTGATGAATGAGACTTTCGCTGTAGTTTCATATTGCAGCTAACTGATGTAATACCCGAGTTTAATGTTTCCGCCTGCTTTGTAAAAACCCCACCCCCCTCCCAACCTTGCACATTGAACTACTTTACTGTAAGGGTGACCAAGCCCTGGAACAGGCTGCCCAGAGAGACTGTGGAGTCTCCTTCTCTGGAGATCTTCAAAACCCGCCTGGATGCCACCCTGTGGCACGTGCTCTGGGTGTCCCTGCTGGAGCAGGGAGGCTGGACTAGATGATCTCTAGAGGCCTCTTCCAACCTCAACCATTATGTGATCTCTTTGCTCTAGTGTGGTGGTCATTGATACCTCACTGTAATTGATACCTCACTGTAAGACACAGTTCAGACTGTTATGCTCACAGGCAGAGTAGCAATTTCCTTACAGTATCTTTGAAACACTAATAGTACAAGACATTCTTCCCTTCTCACTTTGCTTCAATTTAAAATTATTAAAAGGTCAGGTAGGATGCATAGAAAGTCTAAAGCTGTGAAGAAGCATCTTGCAGAGTCCGAGTGTGCTGTGAAGGTGCTTTCCCCTTAGGGGAGGGGAGCTGTATTAAAGTTGAAACAGGACAGAAGCAATTCTGTGCAGAGATGTCCAAAATGAGCTGCAGTTTATGGAAGAACATATTAATAAAGCACTGTGTGGCATATATACATGCCAAAAGCATGTGCAAACAATATTAAGAACAGTAACCATCTAATACAAGTACTACTGCTCAGTCTGCTTTATACAGTGCTCCTGTTTTGGCAGGAAGCGGTTTTCTTTGCTAAGGTCCCTAATACCTTAGTTCAGTCTTGGGAGACCTAGTGGTTGCTGGATGCAATGTGAGGTTTGTGGTATTGTTGGCAGATACTAGCAACTTTGTTTAACAAAGGATTGTTTTTCTGTTTCTTTTAGTCCGCTGATACTATTCAAACCAGCCACTCTGAAGATACGGAAATGAAAAATGAGCAGAATGGAGTTGAAGATAAGTCGGAAGTTGACACAGAAGCTTAAGTGCAAACCCTATTCCATTAGTTTTGTAAACAAAAATTTCCAGTGAATTAGACCTTTATTTTTCTATGTGGTTGGACAGTGGCTTGAGGGGAGCAGAGACTGAGGCTGCCATGCCACAGTCAGTTACAGCTTTACATGTCTGTGGAAGAAGCTTAACGGAAGCACAAATCTGATTTAATTCTAAAGACTTTATTTATTCATTCAATCTCTGTTATTGGGCTTCTATAAGGATTCATTTTGCTTGGTTCTTTGAAGTTTGTTGTTGCTGTTTGTCTCCTTTGGGTTCCAATTCACTTTAATCCTAGGTTTTGCTTTCTAAAGTTGCTTTCTAAATTTACTTCCTTGGGGGCGGGAGGGTTGCTTCTTGTGGGAAAGGTGTTTTTTTTTTTTTTTTTTTTAAAGTAATGAAGTTTTTTGGAGGAGTCCTCATGTGAGACCTAAGAACAAATCACTGCTCCCAGTTCTTCTGGCTTGGCCTTGTCCTTTTCCCTTAAGTAGGGAATCCCTTTCGTTAAGTGTTGTAACCTTCCTTGTATTCCCCCTCTTCCCACACTGCTGAAGACGAAGACTCTGAAGTCACAGCTTGAGTAATGAAGCTCCAATTAAACTGAAGAAAACAACTTTTAGTGTGTTTTTATTGGAATACGCACAGAATTAAAAGTGAGCTTACTCTTCTCTAGTCATTCAGTGTCTTTTTTCATCTGTAGTTGTGTCTCTTATTTTCTGTTGTTCACTTAACTGCTGTAACACCTTTCCACAAGAAAGGGGTAAATACCGGATGCATTTTTTCTTTCTGCCATAAAATTGAGGTGATAAAAAGGGAAAGGGGGAGGGGAAGGTGGAAGTCGACCTCTGTTACTGCCCTCTTTTGACTCTAGAAGTGGATATGTGTTTTTGTCTCCTCTGGGAGATCAGAGATGATCGTAGGGGATCACTTCACCTGTTCATTTCACATACATTCATTTGGGGTAGTGAAAAACCTCATGAAATTCAACAAGGCCAAGTGCAAGGTTCTGCACCTGGGAAGGAATAACCCCAGACACCAGTACAGGCTGGGGACTGACCTTCTGGAGAGCAGCGGAGAAAGACCTGGGTGTCATGGTGGATGACAAGTTGACCATGAGGCAGCAGTGTGCTCTTGTGGTCAGGAAGGCCAATGGGATCCTGGGCCGCATTAAGGAGAGCGTCTCTAGCAGGTCAAGGGAGGTGATCCTGCCCCTCTACTCAGCCCTGGTGAGGCCACATCCTGGAGTATTGTGTCCAGTTCTGGGCTCCCCAGTACAAGAGGGATGTGGAGCTGCTGGAGAGAGTCCAGTGCAGGGCTACAAGGATGATCAGGGGCCTGGAACATCTGCCCTATGAGGAGAGGCTGAGGGAGCTGGGCCTGTTCAG